AGAGCTTGAAGTGCCTCAGGGACTTTACACTGACAATCCACTCTACCTGTAATGCTTTTTCCTAATTCCCTTCAGGTCTCTGCTCAAATATCACGTTATCATAGAGGGCTTCCCTTACCTATCTTACAAAGCTGCACACTCTCCCACATTCCTTGTTCCCCATGCCTTTATTTTTCTCCATAGAACTTATAATCACTGGATAGAATATATGTTTCTTTACTTTCTGTTGTCTATCTGAAGGATGTCAAGAATTTTGTTATGTTTATGTTATACTCTGGTATGTAGAACATGTAGTAGTTATTCACATTTATTAAATAAGTTATTTAATCAAATAAATCACTTTTGCAGCTGGTTTACGCAAGTGGGAGTCAATATGTCAACTCTTAACTCAGAATTTTTATAGAGTGATACATGTATTATACTGGCAACACAGGTGTGCTATATTTTCTATACTCTTTTTGAAAATTCAGTATTTTAATACTATAGGAATTAATTACCTGATTTCTTTCCACTAAAGCTCTAATATTTACAATTAAGGTTTCTAGATTACAAGGAAGAAAATAGCCTTCTTTACTTTTGTGTATTAAATTTTGTATATGTTCCTTTTGTCTCTCTCCATTATAAGTCTTATTAATGAAAAATTCAGACACATTTGTTTGGCTCTGTCACATATGTGGAAAGGAGTTCTTTTTTGCTTTTCTATACACAGAACATTATAACAGCTGTCACATCTATAGCTTCATTGGTCAAGAGGTGCCGCTCCCCAGGCCATGGGGATTTTCTACTAAAGGAATTGAAAGATTCAGTGTTCAATTGGAATGAACAGAACCATCTTGACCATAACATTTTGGATTTTTTTTTTTTAGTAGAAAATGGTCTTTCACAATTACCTCATCGAACACCTTCCATATAACAATAAGGAAAATAAAAATATTCTTCATGTCCTGGAATAATTCCTGGCTTAATTGACTCTCACTTGCAGTAGTTTGATGTCTGTTCATTCAAACTGGCCAAACCATTATTCAAGGTCACCGCACTAGACTGGTTGTTCTTCCTTAATGATTTTCTCTGATGTTTGTATTCCTGGTTCCTCCATCTCATTTGGGTCTCAGCTTAAAGGTCACTGCTCAGAGAGGTCTTCCTTGCCAACCCAATCTAAAGTAGCATTTAGTAACCTAGCACATTCCTTATTTTAACTCTCAGAATAGAACACCTCACTATCTTCTCTCTGGAGTATTTATTTTTACATTTATTATGTGTTTATTGTGTATCTCACTACATTTAATACAGACATTGGCAGCCTTGATTGTGTTGTTCACTGCTTTATCCCCAGTGACTAGAACATTTCTTGGCAGTGAGTTGTTGCTCCATAATTATTCATTTAATGAGTAAATGATATAATCCCCATTACTTGTCATATTTGTTTAAATGATTAAAAGCTATCAGGGACCTAAGCATATAGAACTCAACAATTATGGACTCCCCTCCAGCCTCATCATGGGTCATTAATGAAACACCAGATTAATTGGCCCAGTCTTCATAGGTCATCAGGGTAATATGCCCAGGTGTTTTTGATATTGGTAGACTACTCTGTGATAAACATTAATCACAGTATGTTATTAGTTTATTGATGATATGCATCTTCCTTCACCAAGTGCAGCCTTGTTTCCCAGCATCTGAAAAGAAAGATAGGACTGGTTTCTTAATGTTTTCCTTTCCAGGAAATATTTTACTCCATACTTAAGATGAGTTATATTAAAATTAGAAAAATCACCTGAAATCTTTTTTCTTATCAGTAAAAAAGTTTAATTTTATCAATTCAACAAATGGTCTTTGAGCATCTCCTCTGTACCAGGTTCTTTTCTCACTGAGTTTTTTTTTTTTTCTTTTTAATGGGGAGAAGCAGACGATAAATATCTGTATGGCAAGTGTTGTGCTTAATCTATTCACGTGTTACTATATCCTTAATGCAATTCTTTGATGTAGGAATTATTATTCCTTTTTCTTTTAACATCTTAGGGAAATTAACCTCAGAGGAGTAAGACAAAGTATCCTTGATTCACACTGCTAGTTGCAGAGTTGGGATTTGAACATAAATTTTCATTACTCCAAAGCCTCCCTTTGTACTTTATTGTTTGGAAAAAGAATATTCTATGAAAATTTAAATACGGACAATAACAAAAATGTGAGCCTTATAAGGCATTAAAATAATTATAATTCTTACAAAAAATAAATTACCCATTCAAATAGATAATTTGGCTATATATGTTGGTCATGGAAACTAAGTACATATACATTACCATAATATGTTACTTTAAATGTCTAAAAAATGGATTATAGTATAAATTAGACTCATTAAAAAACCATTCAGATGCATAGTTTATCAGTTATTGTTCAAAGTGTGGTCTTTAAAATAGCTCTAAGTGCTTTGAAGTTTTTAATAGGGTGGACATTAGATTCTGGTAGACAGATAAGCCAGTCTTTAAGTCAACCAATATTCCTATACTAATCCTTCACCTAGCTTGCTGTCTAGTCCCTGGGAGATGGTGATGTGGACCCTAGCCCTGAACCAGGGATTCTACTTCATTATGAATTCTGACTTGGTATTTTGGACACGGAATCATTTGGAGGCAAGGAGATGTTTGTGATTATAAATACCATGGATGTAAGTGATTATAAGTGCCATGGATGTAAGTGCTTCCAGTAGGTAATCTGGGGCTTGTGATGTTATGGCAGTCATACAGCTAAATTACCAGCATCTCTTAGGGATATTGAGATCATTAACTGAGACATGAAGTGTTTTGTGATTGTGTGACTGGGTATTAGAATTTCAAGCTCTACGTTCCAGATGGACCAGCCAGCAAGATCTTCATATGGTATTTGAACCAGAGTACTGATGCTTTTGTTGCTGGCATTTTGTCTGGTTTGGGATTAATTTGGTTGTCATGAATAGCTCTTTAGCATATAAAGATGAAAGAAGTGTAAGCTCATAAAATAAGGGAGTCTCTTAACACAGAGTATGTGCAGTGCCAAAACAGTCAACTGTATCAGACAAATCATTGGTGAAATCAGAGGTGACTTACTCAATTTTGTATTCATTTAGTCATTTCAAAAATATGTATTCATTCTTTATAAGTATGCCAGCAGCTCAGTTATATTCCCAGTGTTTTCACCCTCAGAAATTTCCCTATTGAGGTATGAAAATGAGACATGCATACTCACATTAAAAATTAAGTGACAATTCAAGAGGCAGCACAGGCAGTCTGTGATTAAATGCCATCTGAATAGTATGAACAATAAATGCTATGAGCTCATGCAAAGGAAGGATCAAGGGAGGCCTTATGAAAAAACTTGGAATTGCCTTGTTTTGGGAGCGGATTATGAATGAGTTGGAATTGAATAAATGGAGGGTGTGCTAACCTGGGGGAGGGGATTCAACATAGAGTTGGATGCCTGAAACTAGAAATTAGGTTGTGATCTTGGGAGACAGTGGGGAATTACAAAATTAGTGCCTGACCATATTGTGTGGGTCTTTGATTGCTAGGTTAAGACATTTGTACTTAATCCAGAGAATAATGGGGACTCATGGAAGGTTTTCTACAGGGGAGTGGAAGGAAAATTCATCACGTTACAGTGACTTATGTCATAGAAATGTGCAGAATATCTTGAAACTAGGGAGAGATGAGAAAGGAAGAAAGACTTTTGAACAGTGGTTTTTAAACTTTAATGTGCTTAAGAATCCACCTAGGTAGCTTGTTGAAGTTGCAGATTTCTGAGCTTAACTGAGATTTTGATTAAGTCTGGAGAGGGCCCTTAATCTCCATCTTAACAAGGATCAATGTGATTCTGATTTAAGTGGTCTTCAGACCACATTTTGGATAATACTAAAATAGAAGTCTGTCATAATAATACAGGAGTGAAGTGGTGAAAGTTTGTACTATAATTTGGAAGTAGGAAAGAAAAGGAAGTGATGACTGTAAGGATTATGGTTGTGGAAGAATTGATACAACTTAGAAATGTTTGGATACAAGAAATCAAAGGGAAGAAATAGTCTAAGATGACATTAATGTATTTAATTCAACGTATTTGATAATTTTTGTTTTTACGACTGGATTTGCTAGTCATTTAATTTACTGGAAAGAATCAGCACATGTAAAGATAATGCCCAGGTGTGAACTAAAGAGAAAATACAATATAATGTATGTGGTAATACATGTAAATAAAAAATCCTGAAAAAATTAATCCACCATTTTGTATTATACTCAGATATATTCTAATGATTATTTTCCCCATTGTGGATTTAAGTGATTTTTAGTTAGAGTTCCTGAATGTCTTGGGTGGGTGTAGAATTCACAATTATCCACATCTTCCCCATATAGCTAAGAGGGTAACTCTAGGGAATATATTGGAGCATCTCCGTAGTTATGATCATTCTATATCCTGGATTTGGGGGAAAAAATCTGATTAAAAATAATCATATCCTGAACTCATAGATACAGGGAATAGATTGGTGGTTGCCAGAGGTAGGATGTGGGGAGGAGAGGCACAAAATGGGTGAAGATGGTCGAAAGGTACAAACTTCCAGGTTTTTTCTTTTAAAGATTTATTTATTTATTTTAGAGAGAGAGAAGAGTGAGTGGGGGTGGGGAGGGTCAGAGGAAGAGGGAGAGAAGCAGACTCCCTACTGAGTACAGAGCCCTACGCAGGGCTAGATCCCAGGACTCCGAGGAAACTGAGCTGAAATCAAAGTCAGCCACTTATCTGACTGAGCCACCCAGGTGCCCTCAAACTTCCAGTTTTAAAAATAAAAAAGCCCTAGGGAGGTAATGTATAGCACTGACTGAAATAAATAATACTGTATTGCTTATTTGAAAGTTACTAAGAGAGTAGGTCTCAAAAGTTCTTCTGACAAGAAAAAAAATTGTAGATATGTATGATGATGAATACTAACAAGATTTTTTTGTGGTGATCATTGTGTAATATACACATATATCAAATCATTATTTGTATACATGAAACTGATATGTTATATATCAATTATATCTCATTAAAAATAGTAGTTTACATTTCCTAGAGATCTATCAGACTATGAACCCTAATTCTTGGTTTGGACAATGCAGTTAGTGGAATTATAGTAGATAGTGGATAAAATATGCAGTTTTGGGGCTTATTCTCAGTAGGTGCCAGGACAAACTCAAAAGAAAATATTAAGAAGGTTATTACTGTTAGATTCTAGTTTATATTATTAAGTCATCAGGAATGGTACTGATGAAAGTTGTAAGAAAAATTAAATTTTAAGGAGAAATTAGGAACCGGAAATGTTTCTTTTGCATGGATATTGCTCAAAATCTTTAGTTCACCAACAGAAGGAAAAAGATAAAGAAATTCAAGTAACTTGAAGAGTTAGAAAGTTGTATATAAATCAGTTGCAGTTATGAGTAAATAATAATCATATTCCTCAGGGGTGCCTGGGTGGCTCAGTTGGTTAAGCCTCTCCCTTCAGTTCAGGTCATGATCCCGGGGTCCTGGGATTCAGCTCAGCGGGGAGTCTGCTTCTTTCTCTCCCTCTGCTGCTCCCCCCAGCTTGTGCTCTCTCTTTTCTCTCTGTCAAATAAATAAAATCTTTAAAAAAATAATCATACTCCTCATGCTTCAAAAGGATGCTTGGTTTGAAAGAGGGAAGGCTTTAACCTCTTGAAAAGGATCTTGAAGTCAAGTAAAGAGTGAGGACTTGGGAGAAGTTTCAGCTGAGGGGAAAAAGGACTAGCAAAGAAACAGCACAGAGGAAAAGCAGGCTCCAGGTCTCTATTTGTGCGGGACACCTGGGCATCATGAACAGAGTAGCTCTTCCTTTGGGGCAAACTACCTGAGTGAAACCTGTGCGCTCTTGAGATCACACAGCCTCTCCCCCTCCCCGTTCCCTTAGGCTGACTTGGAGGCTGCTGAAATTGTCTTCTGGAACCTTGACACTCACTTTTGCCCAAGCACAACAAAGAGTAATTCCTCATGGGGAGAATATTATAGATGTTGGTTTGTTAGTCATCTAGTATTTTCTTATTCATTAACAGTCAGCAAACTGTTTCTATAAAGACCCAGATAGTGAATATTTTAGACATTGTGGGCTACACAGCCTCTGTCACAACTACTCAACTCTGTCACAGTGTGAAAGCAGTCATAGAGAGTAAGTAAATGAATGGATGTGGCTGTGTCCCAGTGAAACTTAATTTACAAAAACAGGCGGTAAGCTGGATTTGCCCTATAGCCATAGTTTGCCGACCCTTGTTTTAATGCAGTATATGGTATTTCTTTTATGGAGTAGTAGGTTGGTTAGAAAGCTACCACTTCAGCTGGTTAGAAAGCTAACTACTTTCCTAGCATAGTTTCCCTAAAGCAATAGGTTCCCAACTCAAAATAGATAGGAACCTGACCTACTACTACATCTAGTAAATTCCTTAAGTAAAGAAATGTAAAAGGCTTTGGAGGTAACACAAAAAGTAGCTAGAAATTGGGTTCCAGTATTTTTCTGGGTGTGTAGTTTTTTTTGGGGGGGGTGAGCTCTATATCCCAGGTGGGGCTTATACTCATGACCCCAAGATCAAGAGTTGCATGGTCTGCTGACTGAGCCAGCCAGGAGCCCCTCTAGTTGTGTAAATTTTGGCCAGTTATTTGGGCCAGTTATGTAAAGCAGGAATGATAATCTCTACCTGATTAAAAGGCTGTGACTATCAATTGCTGTAGCATAAGTGAAATGCTCATTACAGTAACATCTGTCATACGGTAGACCCTCAGTAGATGTTGGTTTTCATCCTTCTTCTCCATATACCAGAAAATACATATGGAGTAGAAATAAAAGTAGAAACAAGGCAAAGTAGAAGGCAGAACTAGTTTCACATTTAAGATATTTGTATGTGATTCTTTTTCTAACTGAAATACTCATTGCTGGCTGAAAGGTACAGTCCTGTTACTGCTTGGATGCAGCTCAGGATTTTCAAGAGCTCCAGTGTAATACATTAGGGGTGTTTGGTTCTGCATTTTTCTTATTTCCTAAATTATATGTAATATATGTGTACATATGCATATATACATAAATATATAAAATAATGTATATATGTGTGTATATATATATATTACTTATGTGTCAGATACTGTGCTTGAGAATTTTACATTTATTATTTCATTTAATCCTTACAGTAACATTGCATAGACAGTTCTGTTATCACCCCCATTTTATAGATAAGAAACTGATACTTAGAGTGGTTATGTAGCCTGTAGTCATACATCTAGAACATCTCAGAGCTGAACTGAAATTCAGGACTTTCTGGCTATGGTGAGCATTCCCTTAGTAAGGATGATGAATGACATACCTTTTAGAAAAATGTTTAAATTCAGTAAGACTACTGGTTTGACCATTTTGACTGAATACCTTCAGCATTTATGGGTTACTTGACCAACATCAAAGAGGGACTGGATTAATAAGCACAGTGTGAAGTTTATGACTGGTCAGTTGGCCACATCTTTGAACCTGCACAGAGGTCATTGCAAATAAATCTAGGTCTACATTTGGCACACTGCACAAAGCATTCTGAACAATTCGATGATGAGATTTCCATTATTTATGCATGAGGAAAATATGCTGTTTTCCATGCACTGAGCCAGGGGGAAAATTACTCAGCCTTAGTAATATTAGACCATGGATCTTACATTTATTTTAAAATGGTAGTGTCGTGCTGAGGAGAATAATGGTTAATATCTTTCTTCTTCTTCCTCCAAATACAATGTCAAAACTACATTGATTAAGGGGCACCCGGGTGGCTCAGTCGTTAAGTGTCTGCCTCGGCTCAGGTCATGATCCCAGGGTCCTGGGATCAAGCCCCACATCGGGATCCCTGCTCCGTGGGAAGCCTGCTTCTTCCTCTCCCACTCCCCCTGCTTGTGTTCCCTCTCTCGCTGTCTCTCTCTCTGTCAAATAAATAAAATCTGTGTCTTTCTCTGTCAAATAAATAAAATCTTAAAAAAACTACATTGATTAAAATAAATAAAATCTTGTATCATGGTGTCAAGTCTGTAAGAAGATAGAATAAGCAAGCAGAAACATTAAATTCTATATATTTTTATAGACTTCTATATATTCACATAGAATTCTATATGAATTCTATATATTTTTTCCTCTCCCAAGGTTATTTCCTTCTATTCTGCTCATCAAGTTACATAGAAATTTTAAATTCTATCAGAATAAGTAGCACATTTCTTAATGTTTTTTAAAAGTACTATTTTATTAAAAATTTTGCATTCACAAAGAAAGTGAGTACCTCAGTTAAAATTCAAGTTAGTTTGTGAGTATGCCCCAGGTACTGATCCAGATTCTCTTTTTTGGAGGGAACGTGTATTTCTTGAGGATAGATTAAGAAACTTGTCTTCTCTCAATATAGGAAGCCTCTTTGCAGTCTTGTTTACTTCAGATTGTAAGGGTGAATTGTGATACTGCTGAAAAATAACACATTTATTATTACTTGAGGAAAAGCCTTTTGACTTAATGAGTTAAACTTACTCATCTTTCAATTAATATCAGCTAGAGCTACTGTAGGAATTGAATTTGGTGGTGTTGAGTAAGTATCAAAAAATATTCACAGACCCATCAGATGGCACATATTTGAGAAATTAAAATCTTTCCTGACCCTAAGAAGGAAACTTTCTGGCAACCAGGAGGATGTAGGGAGTTAATATTGAGGAATATATGGGGGTGCCTGGGTGGCTCAGTCATGAAGTGTCTGCCTTTGGCTCAGGTCATGATCCCCGGGTCCTGGAATCAAGCCCCGCATTGGGCTCCCTGCTGAGCGGAGAGTTTGCTTCTCCCTCTACCAATCACCCTGCTTGTGTTCCCTCTTTCGCACACACTGCCTCTATCTGTCAAATAAATAAATAAAATCTTTAAAAAAAATACTGAAGAATATATGTGTTCCGGGAACGGGAGAATCATAGCCAAAGAACGAAGGAGGTTCACCTTCTACCTGAGAGCTACACATATCTTTTCATAAAAATTGTTATTCTAATTTAGTGTTAATTTAACAGCTAAGCTTTGAAAGCAGGATGAAATCTATTTTAAAGACGTTCACAATTATTTTTAACTCAGGATTCTATTTTGACTCACCACATTTTTTTTATGCTGCCACAATTTTAAATGTTTGTCCAGTGATTTAGTTTGGGAAGGTTACAAATACAAAATATTTAGAATCTCTTGCAGCTTTCTCTCTCAAAGATAGAATTTTCAGTTCCACACTGCTCAGTGCTTGTTCCTACCCACCTCAGGTGTATCTGTTCTGTTGGTGATGATGTGGGTTTTCTGCCACTGATTCTTACAAATTGGTTGCCCCCCTCTAAACTCCCTTAACATTCTAATAATTTGTCTCCATATTCCTTTGTGTTTTGTATGTAGATAATGTTATCATCAGCAAATAATGACAGTTTTGATTCTTCCTTTTCAATCCATTTATCTTCAGTATCTTTGTGTGTGTTTGTCTTATTAAGGTATCTAGGATTTATGGTTTACTGTTGATTAGAAGTATTGATAATGAACATTTGTATCTTGTCCCTCACACAAGATATATCCAATATTTCAGCTTATATCTTCTTAGCTGTCTAATTTTATATTAAACCACCCATCCACTGATATTATTAAACAATTTATCCATTGACATTTTAATTTAAAAAGTTCTGTATTTAGTTTATCCCTTTGTCTTCTAGGTAAGATCACAGGTTTCAGACTGAGGTTGGCAGGGGCTCAAGTTCTGGCTTTCAAACTCAACAAATATCTGACCTTAGGCCAATAATTGCTACTATCAGCCTCCAATTCCTCAGATGTAAACTGGAGTTAATGCTAGAAATCCTTTATTTAAGAAACACATTAATTATAATATTCAACTCAATTTAATAGGAACTTTATAAAATGAGAAATATTACTTTACATTTTCTTAAAGGGAAAATGCATAATTTTGCCATACCACTGCCTACCTTGTTACTTTCCAGCATCTTAAAGTCTAAGATTAAATCTTCTTCACATTAAGAATTTAAAGATTCTTGGGGTGCCTGGGTGGCGCAGTTGGTTAAGTATCTGACTCTTGCTTTCTGCTCAGGTCATGATCTCAGGGTCCTGAGTTAGAGCCCAGCATTGGGCTCAGCACTCAGCGGGAGTCTGCTTGGATATTCTTATCCCCCCAACCCCCCCCCCACCGTGCGCGACAGTCGGGCGCTCTCTCTCAAGCTCTCTCTCTCTCTCAATCAAATAAATAAATAAATAAATCTTTTCAAAAAAATTGAAAGATTCATAACTATTTTTGGCCTTTGGTAGGTTAGGCCTAATTTCATAATAACAAGCTACTTCTCATAATCTCTTTTGCATATTGAGATTGAGAGTGACATTTCAAGGCATGTTGATTCCTTTTTTAAATTTAATTGTCAAACACTAGAAGCTTAGGATGCTCTCTTAAAAGTCAGCTAGAAGCTTTTGACAGATGGACATTTAGCACCTGAGTAATTATCCTTCAGGTCTCACGAATCAGTCACTTTGAAAGTTCTATGACATCTTCCAAGGGATTTAGAAATATCTCGTCTTTTTAAGTGTATTGCTGTTGTATGATCAGACATGATTTTGTAGTTACTTCAATGATTAAACAATATACAGCTTCAAGTACTTATGAATATCTTGTTGCTTTACAATAAAATATGGAAGTACAGTCTTTCTCCCTGAAAGAAATATTTTCTTTACTCACGATAGATGTTTGTCTCCCAGGCATATTTTCATTATTTCTACATATGGAATAAGTTATCTTTTCAGTGAGGCAATATAGTATAGTCTTTTGAAGACATTTTAAGTGAATATTAGGTGTCTAAACCTCATTTAATTAAGTCTAAAATTGAACTATGTACTGTTCTATGAATACAAGTAACACATCAAAAATCTTTACCATTCCAACATGGCCCTCCTTGATTTTAATTCATTTCCAAATAGCCTCCACTGTACTTCACCCCAGGCCACTGGTTGGCTTGGTCTGCCCCAGTATGACAAACTGCTGCTATATGGCAGTGTCTTTGCACTTGTATTTTTCGTAGCCTGGGATGCTGGCTGACACCCTTCCTTCACTCCCAAGCATCATACACTAACTTCTCAATTTGCTTCTATTTGCTTTATGGCACTGAACCTCATCTGGCATATTTATATATTTGTTGGAGTTTTTGTTCTCTTTCTTCCGATTAGAACAGGAGAGCCAAAACTGTACTGATTTATTCAGTCCTTTTCCTCCAGATCTTATGTTTGGCACATATTAAGTGTTCAGTAAGCATTGGTTGAATGAATAAATTAATGTTGAGACAATGAGATAACAGATGTTTTCTGTGTAGAGTTAAGATCACATGGGTTACACTTAACATCTGCAGGAGACTCGCACAGTCCTTTTAGTCTCTGTAGAAAGACTCCTTTTGATTTTCAAAATGTTAAAATGGGAAGAAAGAAGCACATTGTTGTAGGGATTAAATAAAACAGGGTATGAAAATTATTTGGCAGAATGCCAAAAGCTAAATGTTTGATAAATGCAATAAACTTACTTCCATCAGAATTCATCATTTCCTCTTTCTCTGCTATTACAATGGAAATGTTTGGCTTTGGTCTGGTTTAAGGCAAATTCTTCCATCTATACCTTAGAGTTCAATCCACTTTTGCCTTCTGAGAGACAGCGTATTATCCATTATTTTCCTTCTTCCTCTCATATCCTTGATTTCTTCTCTGTTTGCTTCCTACTCGTCATCTTACCTGAGTCACACAGAGGGGCCCCTTTTGATAATTTAGTATATTGCCTTGAAGGGGACCTTCCTAAAAGGTGATCATTATGAGATATTTGCATACTTACCTACCTGTCCTTCTTACAGATTCATAAAATTACTTGACGTTTTCTGAATTTCCAGTGCCCCACATTTCCTCTCATCTCTGAGATTTTGCCAGTGCCAGTTTCTGCACAGAATTCGTTTTGATGCTCCCCTAGACAAACATATACAGTCATACATACATGTTCATACAAGGTATGATTAACTGATTTCACCTTGTGCTTGAGGTCTTGGCATCATCATCTTTATTGTGAAGACTACTGACACTTACACACTGAATGTTCCTCTTATGTACCAGACATTACATATCCCCATCAACACCCATGTCTCACAAACTCTCTCTCTCTCCCTGAGTTATACTGGTTTGTCTATTTGTTTACTTCCCTTAAAGACACAAAGCTCCTTGAAGACAAGTATTTTTTCATGTTCATCAGTTAAATACTGAAGTCTGCATGGGAACTGACAGATAACCAATATTTTCAGCTTGAATTGACAAGTGGAGTAGTGTCGTTAGAAAGTTACAAGATTGGTTTCTGGTAGTACTGAAACCTGTAGGGCCAGCCAAGCACTTACTGCTGAATTTCCATCAGTGTGCTAATCAAAGAAAAATGTGCTCAAGTGTAGCATTTCTTAGTTCAACATTTATCACATATTGCTCTTTGTTTCATATTAGAGAAAAAAAATTACTAAAAATGACCTAACATATTGAAACAATGGGGTAGGGACTTTAGTACTAGTACTTACAGTGGTAATATTGATAATGCAATTTAATATATGTATAGATTTTTACAGTTCTAAAAGCCCTTCATATATCCACAGGAAATGCCCTAACCTTGTTTCTGAAAAACATTGAACACTTGGGTGAAATCTAGACTCTGAATGCATCCTTTGGATATTTCTAACTAGGCAGCAGTTTGGCTTTATGTAAGACATCATTTGATGATGAAAATTTCTAACTCTATGCTGTTTGGCATCAGATTGATACATCCTAACAAATAACATAACACGTGTATTCAAGTATACTTAGGATATATGCAAAACGAAAGTTTCATTTAAATCTTCCTCTCATCATGAAGTTAGCAGTGGACCCTTAGTTATCATAACTTACATTTAATTCTGTGTTCTGAATTGAAATGGTGCTTGCTCACTCTTAGCTTTTTATTGACATCATTTCTGCCAGAACACTCCATCATTATTGACAGGAATGTTCTCCCTTGTTAATTGTCCAGCAGAACATTCAGTGATTGATTGGATTGCTAGGGCAGATTTGAAATGCATTGGCAAAAAAAGGTGGTGGTGGTGGTGTATAATCTCTGTACCATGGTAATGGCACCAACTAACTTATTATTTCGGTTTGTTCAGGAAAAATGCACTGATAATTTACCAGAATTTTTCACTTTTTATACAGATGTGCTGATGATGAGTAGTGAAAGCTTTCAAGGAAGCCCCATATGAACCCAATAGTTTTTAAAGACCCTCTCAGATTGTACCCATAAAACTCCAACATTTATGGTCAATCAGTGGGAAAAATGGATAATTTATTTGACATGTAAGTATGGAAAACTGATGTCCCCATTGGATATTTCCATTTTTGGTTATTTTAAATATGAGTGCACAACCCTTAGATTAATGAAAAGTGTTTTTAAATGGAAAACTAGAAGTCTCATTTTTTTAACCGTGTAAGATTTTCTTTTAACATAGAGACAAGAGTCATAGATAAACTATAAATTTTCATGAGATCTGGACTCTTAAACTAGGTTTGCCAGAAAGTATTTGAGTCATGTGGGCAAGTCAACTAAGAGAACCTAAAGTAATTTTGTGGCTATATAGTGAGGGAATTAGGTCTGGATCAGTAGTTATTGATATATTGAAGTCAGCTAAGGAGTTTTTAAAAATGCTGTCATCTGTGTTCTCCCCCCAGAAATACTGATTTCATTTGTTTAAGTGTGCCAATGGTTTTCAAATTTTAGTTGGATTCAGAATCACCTGGCCAGCTTGGTAAATGTACAAAGCCCTAAGCTTAATCTGCTTCAAGGAGCTTGGGCTTTTGTATTCTTAAATTGTTCTCTAGGTGATTCTGGTAACATCACAGTTTGAAATCACTGGTCTAGAGTTTAACATCAGAAGTTTTTTTTTTTTTTTAAAGATTTTATTTATTTATTTATTTATTAGAGAGCGAGCGAGAGAGAAACAGCATGAGATGGGGGAGGGTCAGAGGGAGAAGCAGGCTCCCCACCGAGCTGGGAGCCCGATGTAGGGCTCGATCTCAGGACTCCGGGATCATGACCTGAGCCGAAGGCAGTCACTCAACCGACTGAGCCACCCAGGCGCCCCACATCAGAAGTTTTTAAAGGTCTCCAAAGTGATACTCCTTAGGTGCAGCCATGGTTGGAAACCCCTGAGTAAAGTCAAATTTAGGATTCTTCCAACTCTATCAAGAATGATCCAAATTGGTAGCTTTTATTAAGTAGTTATTGTGTATAAGGCATTGTGCTAAGTATTATCTCATGAAATAATCACAAGACCCTTTGAGGTGGGTAATAATACTACTTTGCATATAATAGACATGGAGAGTAAGTAATTTAGAGCTAAGGTCACATGAATAAGAAGTGGTGGATTGGAACCTAAGCTGTTTTACCTCACAGATCACACAATAAACTACTACTATAAGTAATCTTTTGGAATTATAGGAGAAATTGAAAACTCTCAAATTGGGAACATGTTAGAAGGTACTTATATGATTTTCTTTTGCAATTTTTATTGAAGTATAATTTACATACAATATCCTTTTAGTTTCAAGTGTACTTCATAGTAATTTGATATTTTTGTATGTTATGAAATGATCCCCGCCTTAGGTCTAGATACCATCTGTCACCTTACAGTTATTGCAGTATTATTGACTATATTCCCCATGCTGTACATAACATCCCCATGACTTATTTTTTTTATAACTGGTAGTCTGTACCTCTGAATCTCCTCCACCTATTTCACCCATCCCCTCAATCCTTCCCCACTCTTATAAGCAACAGTTCATTTCCTGTATGTATGAGTGTGTTTCTATTTTTTGTTGTTGTTGTTTTGATTTCACCTATAAGAAATCATATGATATTTGTCTTTCTCTGATTTATTTCACTTAGTATAATGCCCTCGAGGTCCATCCATGTTGTTGCAAATGGCAGAATTCCCTTCTTTTTTGACAGAATAATAGTCCATTGTGTGTGTGTGTGTGTGTGTGTACATATACATTGTATGTATATACACCTATCAGTAGACAATTATGTTGCTTTCATATCTTGGCTATTGTAACTAATGCTGTAATAAACATAGGAGTGCATGTATTTATTTGAATTGGTATTTTCATTCAAATATTCAGAAGTGGAATTGTTGAATCATATGGCAGTTCTATTTTTTAAATTTTTTTGAGTAATCGCTATACTGTTTTCCATGATTGCTGCACCAATTTACATTTCTACCAATAGTATAGGAGGGTTGCCTTTTCTCCAAGTCCTCACTAGCACTTGCTTTTTCGTGGCTTTTTGATAATAGCAAATTTGACAGGTGTGAGGTGATAGAGCTCACTGTGGTTTTGATTTGCATTTTGCTGATTATTGATCAGAAAGCTTTTTCATGTGCCTACTGGCCATCTGTATGTCTTCTTTGGAAAAATGTCTATTAAAGTTCTCTGCCCATTTTTAAATTGGGTTGTATGTTATTTTGATATTAAATTATGTAAATTCTTTATATATTTTGGATATTAATTCCATTATCAGATGTATGATTTATAAATATCTTCTTTCATGCCTTATTATTTTTTTGATGGTTTCTTTTGTTGTGCAAAAGCTTTTTAGTTTGATAAATGATTTTCTTATATTTAAAAATATACCTGACTTGTAATTATATAGTAAAAACAAAATAATCATTTACAAAAAATAAATGGAGAATATAAGAAAAATAAATTGCTCATTAATTAAAAGAAAGAAGAGAACCGACAGTGAGAAGCAGGTTAGATTTGAATAATTCTCTTCATTCTGGAAAGAAGATCACATACTACTTGTTTGTACTGTTAGTGTTTGATAAGCAAGATTATGAGCTTCAGATAGATATTCTGCCATAGCTCTATCGAGGAGAAAGGTGGCAAGAATTTCATAGGAAAAAAAGAAATTTGTATACTCCTTCAAAATGGTTCCAAATACTAATAATGCGATGAATTGGAAAAAAGGTTTATACTGCAAGCATTTCCTTTTCTCTCCTCTCTCGTTTGGAAAGATACCAGCTCAATGCCTTCCTAGGCATAGAAAATTCTTTGGCCACTGCCATTAGTCATACTTGTGTCTGTAAAGGGGAGAGAAGAATGCCTTAGTCAGGTATGTTTTCAGTGCTACATAGAGGGAAGTGGTACTTAGGAGACTGCCTTGCTGCTCTCAAGACAGCCTTTCTCAGGCTTTGTACATGGGCCCTATGGGCATAATGCCAATACTGAAATGTTGGAGGATACATTGCCTACCTTGAAGGAGGAGGAGGACAAGGAAGACAAGGAGGAGAAGGAGAGAAGGAGGAGGAAGAAATATACCCATGTAGAAATGCCAAGGGTCATTTTTGCAAAGCATTAATTTTAATTGCTTCTACTTAGAGAAGGGAACAGTGAGCAAAGAGAGCATTTATTTTCATTGATGGTATTTCATCACTGGCTTTTATATTGAGAGTTCACTATATGGAGAACTTTGGATTTCTGGCACTCTGGAGAGTCTGAGAGATGGTTCCTGATTCTGGTACTTTAGTATTCATTATATGAAATGAATAAAATGTACATATTTAAGTGTGTCAAAATTGACTGTGTATGGTAAATAGAATAATTATACTGCTAACAAGCTACTGTAACCCCTAAATAAAATTATATTTCACATAATGGATGGTACAGTACTAGTTCCCATAAAGTCTAATTCTAAGATTAAATATAATTTAAAATATAAAAAAAGTACAAGAAAAATATGTGTGCATATATTGCTCTGAAACTTTCTTGACTTCTCAAAAATGGCCAACATTGCAGGAAAATACTAAATAAAGGAAGACAAATAGAAATGGAATTTGGATTTTAGTGCCAAATATGACTCTTATTTCTGTGGGATAATAGTGATACATGTTTTTAAATGCTTTGGTAATAGAGCTGTGTTCTGCTGAAAGTGGCAGAATGACAAAATTGCAGGCAGGCACTGACAGTGGAAACCCCTGAAGATAAACGGAGGTTTGTAATGGAAAAGGTTCCCCAACCTTAACTGTGGCCAGCTATCTCTCAGCCTTGACAACCGTTCACTTTGATTTCCAGCTAGGACCACTCCGGGGGACCTTAATCACAGAAGGAACAGCAACATGAGATAATAGCTGGAGGAAGATCTTCAAGAGGAAACAGTGGGCATTCTCCCTGCTATGGGAAAGATCCACACAATATTTAATCCTATGTCAGGGAAAGAGGCTGAAATAATCCTGATATTGGGCCCTCACCCAGATCCAAATTTTCAGCAACCTGCACAAAAACCATCCTGGGCAACTTTGCCGGGTCACATCCCTTATCTTTGGAAGCCCCAGCATGGGGCTCATCATCAACAAGCTGTGAGAATCAGACTCCAGGAACACCGAACTCCATTTCTGGAAGAAGACTGAAGCAAGTGGAGGTGCAGAAGAAAGCTCAGGGGCAGTGGGGGGCAGTGGGGGGAGGGAGGCGGGGGCACGGGGAGGGGAAGGATCAGGAGGACAGGTCTGACTTCTGACTGGCTGGGGTGGTTTTGGAGAAAGTCGCGGCTGGGCTCACCAGTCAGGAGCTGTCCAACTTTTCAGCAGCTCTGGTCTCAGGGTTCAGGCACTCTGGACTGAGGAGGCTGCTGCCACTACTGCTGCTGCTTTTTCTGCATCTCGAGCTGCTAACAATTCCTGCTTTCGCCGCAGGCGCCCAAAGGAAGGAAGGGAAGAAGAAAGGGAGGAAGGAGGGGACCGGCTGTCGGTGAAGCCTAGCACCGCGCGTCCTAGTCTTGGTGAACTGGGGAGCCCAGGAGTGTGTCTCTGCCACAACCACTGTGGAGGGAGCCCTGTCACGTTCTGTGACCCCTCCCGCTGGCAGAGCCTCCTCTTGGTCGCCCGGAGCCTCTGCTGGCTTCAAGTGGGAAGCTGAGCCCAGCCTCTGTTCGGCTCCAGAAGCGGCGGCGGCAGCAGCAGCAGCATCCGGGAGGCGCTCGGGCCAGCGCGGTGAAACTAGCTGGACAGCAGGGCTCGGAGCTGCGAGCCAGGATGGAGGCAGAGGGCAGCAGCGTGCCAGCCCGGGCGGGCAGCGACGAGGGCAGCGACGGCGCCGGAGGGGCCACACTCAAAGCCCCCAAGCACCTCTGGAGGCACGAGCAGCACCACCAGTACCCGCTCCGGCAGCCCCAGTTCCGCCTCCTGCACCCCCATCACCACCTGCCCCCGCCACCGCCGCCCTCGCCCCAGCCCCAGCCCCAGCCCCAGTGTCCGCTGCAGCCGCCCCCGCCACCCCCCCTGCCACCGCCCCCGCCGCTGCCCGGGGCTGCTCGCGGCCGCTACGCCTCGAGCGGGGCCACCGGCCGGGTCCGACATCGCGGCTACTCGGACACCGAGCGCTACCTGTACTGCCGTGCCATGGACCGCACCTCCTACGCCGTGGAGACTGGCCACCGGCCCGGCCTGAAGAAATCCAGGATGTCCTGGCCCTCCTCGTTCCAGGGACTCAGGCGGTGAGTGGAGAGTGCCCCCTCCCCCATTCAGGCAAGGGGTCACCTCCCCAGATCTCAAATTCTCCTCATTGGTCTATTTAGCACTAGCAATCCAGGACCCAGGGCTAAATTCTATTCTGGGAATTGGGGGAGGGAAAGCAGGGGCGTGTCTGTCCTTGCTTGAGAGGGCTAGGATTCACGTGTGTGTAAGAGACCCTGAAAGTACGGTACAAATGTTGTTGGGGGGGGCGCGCACGCGCGAGTGTGTGCGCGCTGGTGTGTGCCTGTGTGTGTGTCTAAGAGAATGAAAGAAAGATTTCCAGTTGTCTCTACCACCCACCATCCCCTCCCCACCCACTTCCATCCCACCCTGGCAAGTGGGACTAAACAGGCAAATTCAGTTTGCTCTGTTGCAGTAGGAAGAAGAGTGAAGGGAAGGGGTGGGGTTGCTGAGACAGGGAGACTCCCAGTAATCAGTCCACTCCCCCCCCAGAGTGAGGGGGTTGGTGGGACAGATCTGATGGTGACTGGGAATGGGTGAGACAGCTTGGTCCCAGGACTGTAGCTCACAGCCTGAGAACAACTCTTTCTCTTTGTCAAGTCGGGAAGTAAATTGAACAGCTAAAGGGGAGAACAAACACGTGGGTGACTTGGAGAGTTTGGAGCAAAATGTTCAGCAATCCTCAGGAGAGGGAAGAGGGAGGGGTGGAAGGAGGGAGCGAGGACTCTGTGGGAGCTACACTGTGTCGGTATGTGGTGTGTGTGCAGGCTGTGTGTGTATCCATCCAGTTGTCTTTGCAAAATCCCAGGAAGAAAGTACCTCGTTTTATTTAGCAGCAGGAAAGACGCAGAGATTTGATTACAGTGATTTCCCCTTAATGTAGAGTGCTCCGGAAGACAGGGCAAGGAAGCCGCATGTCACCTGGAGTTTTAATAGAAGCCAACTGCTCCTATTCCAAGGAAATGAGTAGTGTAAAGAACCAATTACAGCTACTCTGAGAACTCAGCTCAGATTTTTAACTCAGCCATGGAGGTGGAAGTTGGGCCCTTTCCCTGCAACCCAGAAACAGCTCCCTCCCCGCTCCTCTCTCTTTATCTTTTTCTTTTTTATGAGCATTGCTCTGTGTGTTGTGTACACTATGTTCAAAGGAAATCCAGCCAAATAGAATATCCCGACCCCGATATGCCCACATGCTCCTCATACCCTTTGCCTTCCTCACACCCTTAGGTACTGGACATTTTTTGTGGTGATGTCCTTATACCTGTTAGATAAAAAGAATGAGAATTGTGGTTAATAATCACCATTCAGATCAATTTAAGTTTTGAAGATTGTTGTGATTTCAAACATTCATGAATTAATATGCAAGTTTCATTTTTATACCTCAAACTGCTAAAACCCACATGCTGTGTTACCCTTTATTCGAAGAGTTGAATGTCCTCCACTTGGGTAGAGCACTATATATGTGGGTCCCCAGTGTTGGAATAAAGGCAAGCATGGCACTTTGTATGTTTGAGCTATGAACATTTGTGAGACTGAGGTTTTAACAAATATTAAATAAGAACAAGAGTTCTAGATAAATCTGTGGGTTGACTGACTTTGTAGAGTCTCTTAATTATATTCATTTTTAAATAAAACAGAATATGTCTGAGAGGGTGGAGAGGGAAAATAAGCTAATTGGAGTAGAGGTATTGCATCATTGAGTTGAATTTATTTTTTGCTGTGCTCGCTACACTGATTAATTGTTCTGTTTGGAATTTGTTAATTGAATGGTTCACAGAGAACTAAAGATGTATGATATTTACACATAACTTTCACTGTAGCTCATCCGATAAATCATTCTCATTCTATTTAAGAATTATTGGACTTAAAATTCTTTACATCACTTATGTATTTCCCAAGCATTCATTGCATGTCAAGCTTTTCCTTAATAGAATTGCTTTTGTAAATAAATGTTCTTTTCAAGAAGGGTATCGATATTACTCTCATTCTTTAAGAAGAATGGTAGGAATGCTTTAAAATTATCAAAAAATCACATTTATTAACTTATTTGAACCCATTAACAATACTGAAATGAAATGGTATTGTCTCTACTTTATAGATAAGAATATTGAGCCCTAGAGGATATGAGTGACTTGTTCAGTAGCACATTGTTGTAAGTGCCAGAGCTGAGACTGAAACCTCGGTCTCCTGCCTCAGCAAAGACAGTGGGTGCTCCAAAAATAAATGTGCGCAGAACCTGGGCATGTTGACAGCATCAAGAAATATATAAAACCAAACATGAAGTTTATATTGATTGATACCACAGGACATAAAGTCCCAATGAAAAATGAGATATGGTTTAAAACATTTAAAGAAAAAAAAAGACAGCGTAGGCTCTGGAAGCAATGAGAAATTTTAACTTTTATTTTTAACTTTTGAAATCCTAGCTGTTACACTGGTGTTAATTATCACAATAGAGGCAAATCAGTGTATTTGTTGACTTTCTACATTGCATGTAATACAATAATAAATATGAAACAATGTTCAGAGAATTAAAGTTAATCAGATTACTTCATGTTGTTTTCAGTGATCTTCTAAAAGGGAACAGAAGTGTGAGACATGTGTAAAGTGGGTGTGTGTGTGTATGTGTGTTCATGTGTTCATGTGCCATCATTCAAATGGAGGGCTTAACTTGTCTGTCAAGTTAGTGTCTCTGAAAAATCCTCATGGATGGATGGGTGAATGATTCCCTCTGGACTACCAGGAAAAATATGTCCTTTAAAAGGCTATTTTTAGCATGTAGCCTAGCATTTCCTGATATTATTATTGTATTGACTGAAATTTTGAAAACTGCAGTATGTGAAGCAATGGGAAAGAGGTGTACTTGGTTTAATGAGGAAATTTGTAAAATTTGTAAAATTGTGGTCAATTCTTTTGATTCTATGGGAGACATAGGTAAGTGAAATAAATTTTTTATCAAGTTATATCTAAGGGTAGATTCAATTTTTAATATTAACATAAAAGTAATTTGAAATAATAAAATTATAAGGAATGAGTACATTACCAAGAAAACCAAATGAGATATTAAGAAAATTATAAAAATATATGTCAAATTAATCACTTTAACCAGTAGTTCTTCAAAATGTAATAATTGTTCAACTGAACTGATAAAGGATTTGATTATTTCTTTGATTTCTTTTTACATAACATGATATTTTCTTTATCAGTAACATGCATTTCTAAATGTGCAGTAAGTATATATTCTCTCTTTTTTGAAAGATTTTATTTATTTATTTGAGAGAGAGTGAGCAAGCATAAGCAGGGGGAGGGGCAGAGGGAGAGGGAGAAGCAGACTCCCCACTGAGCGAGGACCCAGATGCAGGGCTCAGTCTCAGGACTCTGGGATCATGACCTGAGCTGAAGGCAGACGCTTAACTGACTGAGCCATCCAGGTGCCCAGGAACTATATATTTTCAATGACCAATTAATGGTCAACATCTTTAATCATCAGGGAAATACAAATAAAAACCACAGTGAGATCTCACCTCACACCTGTCCGACTGGCTATTATAAAAAAGAGAAGAAATAACAAGTGTTGGAGAGGATGTAGAAAAAAGGGAACCCTTGTACACTGGTGGGAAAGTAAATTGGTGCAGCTGCTATGGAAAACAATATGGAGGTTACTCAGTAAATTAAAAATAGAACTACCATATAATCCAGCAATTCTACTTCTGGGTATTTATCCAAAGAAAATGAAAACACTAATTCAAAGAGATATGTGCATCCCAATGTTCATTGCAGCATTATTTACAATAGCTAAGATATGGAAACAATCTGAATGTCCATTGATAGATGAATGGATAATAAAATTGTGATTATATAGATATAATGGAATACTATTCAGCCATTAAAAAGAATGAAATCTTGCTATTTGTGACATGCATAGACCTCGACAGCATTATGATAAGTGAAATAAGTCAGAGAAAGACAAATACAATATTATCTCTCTTATATTTGGAATCTAAAATAAAACAGAAACTAAGCTCACAGATGCAAAAAACAGGTGGTGGTTGTCAGAGGTTGAGCTGGGTATGAGAGAAATGGGTGAATGATTGTTTTGTTTTTAGTTTAAATAAATTGAAAAAACAATTAAATTTGGAAACTCAGATAGCATAGATGATTCCTTGGGTATTATGAAAACATTCTACATGGCAGATATAAATATTAAGAAGGTGACATTTGATTTAATTATTTTAGAAGAAAAATAGATAAAAACTATAGTTGTATTCAATATAAGTCCCATGCATTATATAAAATATTTGACAGTAGCCTTTTAAATACATTAATATATATTAAATAAAAGGAAATACTAATTATTATAATTATATTGCAATATTGAAATACTAAAATATCAAGTTTTTGCTTTTCTATTCTGAATTATAAATTTTTCCATTGTTTCTAGTAATTTTATTAATGTTTTTTAGTGTATTTTTTCTTCATTAAAAAATGTAGTGGTGATCTAAGTTCATCATGCAAAATTTTAGTTTCACATCACCAAAGTAACTGAATAAAAACTGACCATACTTTAAACTGACTCTATCAGTGAATCTAAGACTTTGGATTTTAGGAAACAGTAGGTTTTTTTTAATGTTGGATAACTGACATAAGGTTGCCATCTTTAAGTTTTAATAAGTGAAGACATTAAGTTTACTTAGTCAGCAAAAATGTATGGCAAAATTTGTATCTTTCTCATTTCGTAATATTACCAAAACAGTGTTAGATTAATGAGATCTCCAAATATTGGTGACAGACCACTGCAGAAAACAAAACTTTTTTCACTTTCCAAATTGGATGCATTCATACACACACATACATACAAACATAATGATGAACTTGTCGCTAATTTCTATTTGTAAACTTTAATATGGGTTTGGGAGAGTATCTTGGGGAAGGTTCTTAAACATCACATAGAATAATAATCTAAAAAGATTAAACCCTTTTAACAACTTCGGGTAGTTATTCAAAGCCCTGAAGTCTAACATGAGTAAAATTTTGTCCCTCTCACGGCTTATTATCCATCTACATGTTTAAAAATATATAATATGTGAGTGTGTAACTTCAGTGCTGCTAGTCCTGGCTCAGGCAGGAATGTTGCTAAGGGATTACACCAAATAGCACTGTATTATATTTCAAAAGATGTTGTGGTTTTTTTTACCCCAAGGAACATTTTTCTACATTTAAAAATAGGAAATCTAATTTCTCCCAAGGAAGAGGGCATTTCACATTATTTTTTAAAAATCATCAG